ATTTTTTCAGTTATCCGACCAACCTGAGTCTCCAATTGAGTCGGATAATCGATGCTCTACTGTATATTAAATTTTTGCTGGACAAAGGTGTAATTTTTAACTTATTCTTTATTCAGTATATAGTTTATTACATGCTTATTGATGGCCATGCCAGCCAAACTCTATAGACGAATGGTCCTCAGGTTATGCAAAGCAAGGGCTAAATTTGAATTTCTCACTCAATGCCGCCTTAATGGTGCCTTTCCTATGTCCATTTATTTTTACGTACAAATTAAATCACAAATAAGGAATACGAAGTAATAAAAGATAATAAAAATATAATAATGAACACCAAACGTTTGTTTTTCTCAGATTTTCAACTGCATACCTACTTTTGCACCCTCATGTATTAGTAAATTAATATAAATATTTTAAATAAATTTCTTAATATATAAATACATACAAATGAATATATCTTTTTAATTTTTTTTCTTTGGCATACTTTGTGTTATATTTGTATTTTTGTTACAATTTTTTGTTTATTTGGGAAGTCTTATATTATTTGGAGCATTGCCTAATTATGTATTTAAATAAATAAATAAATAATTCAAACTTTTATTGTATTCGTTTTGAATTTAACTCATTGCTAAGCATTCAAATTATGTTACATACATTATTATATACAGTAGACCCCCCTATAACGCGGAGATACGTTCCTCGTTATACGAATTTTGTGTTCTAGGAATCCTTAAATACATGAGCCAATCGCAGCCCGACATGTGTGAAGTTTACGTACTACGGCTGTTTGAAAGGTTTTCTTCCATAAAATTAATCGATTCTAGAAAAATTATATGTCAAGAAGAATTCTTGACATATAATTTTTTGGGAATAATCCATATAAACTATGCTATAAACAAAAAATTGTAGGATTACTTACTGAGTGTGCACCGTTCGACGTTGCCATTGTTTAAGCTTGTGTTCGTCACGGACCAGCGCACCAAACGGCGGCCGCGATTTCTGTTATTTTTCTGCGAAAAATTCGTTGAACTTTGGAGACATCATTAATATAAATAATTTTTATGGTCGTTGAATAAGAAATGTTTCTTTCACAAGAAATGTATAAAATTACAGTGCTGTATTAGACTTACGATACCTAATTTACATACTGTGCAGACGATAGTAAATTCAACTTACTCGCCTAAACTCTCCGTAGCGTAGTGCTGGGCGGCGGAAAGTAGTTCGGCTGCTCGTCCGTGATGACGAGTTGGTGATGACGTTTTACGTGTCTCTTTTAGCATCTTTATATGAATACTGTCGCAATTTTTTCGCCTCGTTATAGGAATCTACGTTATAGGAACCTGCGTTATAGGGGGTCTACTGTATATATTAATCTTATATTAATTAAACAATATTAAATCTGAAAAAATACTAAAACAGACAATAGAATATTAATTTGTATTGCTATTAATTTAAGAAATGTTAAATTTTTAATAGAGTACTTCATTAACCAGACTGAATAATTTATATTTAAATAAGTATGTATTATTTTATTATATTGGATGTAATATGTTCATGTTCAATACAACTCACTTTCTTGAAAGCAAAATTTCAAACAGTTTTTAAGATTATAGATCATTGACAAAACTGCAGCTGTTACAGCTTTTGGAAAACTGAATTTTCATGTTTCTATATTATAGTTAGTGAGTCCTGGAAGAAGGTTCATTAATATCTTAAACATGATACAAAATACATGAAGGCTGAATCTATACAATCTATAATATTTACTGTAATACATTTTCATTATCTGTGTATATTTTCTACACCACAGTTTATCCTTTTTGTGAATATAACATTATTTACAGCTTAAAAGTTTCAAAAAACAAGTAACATCAAATATTAGATGAGTCATTTTATGAAACTTTAGCTCAGATTCTGTTTTTATCAATTTCAGAGATCTACCATTTTAACCATGCTGTGAGTGCTGTTTTGACATAGTAATCTATGTCAAAACAGCTGTTAGTTATGAATAAAATGCTTTATAACATTATATTATTACAATTTCAAATAGAATTTTATTTTGTAAAGTAAAGTGTATTTAATAAAGTAAAGTAAAATTTTGTACAAATATACAGCAGAGTCCTGTACAACATGAGATTACATTATATATTATAGGAAATTGCATTATCAAGACATGATTATCAGATGATTTTATGCAGATAAATTTAGTCTTAGAAGTTGAAGAAGAAAACATACACCCCTAGATCACAAAATTAGAATTTTATATGAGTACTACTCACAATTTTTTTATTGCATTATACAAATTTGCATTATAGAGAGCAAATTATACAAGAGTTTACTATATTCCCAGTGTTCTTTATTTATTGTTATTATCATTTGTATATTTTAGCCAATCAAAAATAGAAACCTGAACATTAGTACAAAAATATATTCATATTATAAAAGAAATTACAAGTCAATTTATGCAATAAATATAAAAAATTAATAAAATAAATAACTCTTTATAATTATTTCTTCTATGAAATATAATTTTCAATATTACTGAAACACTTTTTCAATCACTTATCACATGATATACTTTCCTGTGGTGAATGATGGTAAAGCTGTTTCATTAGTATTGGAAATTATATTTTGGGAAAATTGTTACAATGCACATTTATTGAACTTTAGCTATTTGCAAATTGTTAAAAAAAATTATTACTGTATTAACACATTAATAAAATCATATTTAAACAAATAAATGTAATTCAATAAAAACTGTATAATTATGCACTAGTATATATAATTGTCTAAAGAATACATGTGTAATGAAAATTTTATTCCAATTAAAAGTGTCTGTTTAAATTTTTAATATGTTTCTATTTCACTTATAAAATTACAAATTTAAATTGGTTTTTAGATTGCTGGTGATGCCAATGAAGAACAGATTTTAACAGCTGCTCAAGTATATTATGATCGGCCAGAAATTCTACAGAAAGTTTTAAATGATTTATTTCATGTCTTTCGTTATGATTCTTGTAACAATTCTCGTCTTGCATTAGATGTTGTTATGGTTGCTATGAAGCAGCATTTGACTGAAAAGCATATACAGATTGCTGGAAGGTAATTTTTAAAATATTTTTTATTTTATATAAATTACTTTAAAATAAAAACAAAATATTTATTTTTTATAAAATAAATTTATTAAGTAGAAACATTATTTATAATAATACTATTTACATAAATTTAGACTCAGTATCATTAATTTATTTGTAATTCATTAGTTATAATTAGTATTTCTAAATTTGTTATTTATGGTTTATACAAAATAAAGATCTCTTGTTTATATGCTGAATTGATTTAAATAATTGAATAAAAATGAATTTAATAAAATTTCCAAATTATTGCAAATGGCATCAAATGCTATCATCAAAATCTTTACAAATATCACATAGATAGATCAATTTTGTCGATATATTTTAGAAAATGTTAAAACAAATATTAGAGAGAAATTGATACTGTATTTACATGAATAAATAATCTGCACACTTTTATCCAACAAATTAGGCTTGTGCAATTTATTGAAAACTAATTTTGTGATATACCCAGCAATTTCAATATTTTCTTGAAGTTTTTGAAAATTAAAAAAAAATTCTGTAAGTAAATATTGATTTTAAAACATAATAATGCTTTAGAAGAAAGTATTTCTAAATGAAATAAATTTTAATATATTAAGTTTAACTGTAAACTTTAAAAAATATATTAAATATAAAAATTTTAATTCAAAATTTATAAAATCTCTATTTTTGTCTTAGTGGTTTTTAGTTGGCTATATAAAGCTATGAATTGTGTAAGAAATTTCATAAGAAAAATATTAAATATTTATTATAGAAATTTGAATTTATTTAATAGCTTAATGGAAGTTATTTTTAAAAATTTTATAGTAAATATTATTTATATTAAAATTTATTATTATACTGTGTATAAATTGTCAAAAACAAAACTTTTAATCCATAAATATGTATACTTTTTAATGGTGTACTGTATAATGCAAATTTTTTTTTTTACTATTAATTATAAATATTCTCCTAAATAAAGTAAAAATCTCATATAAATATATGAAAAACAATTGTGCTGGTAATAATAATAATCATTTCATTTAATTTTTAAGTGAAATTTATTTTTGTAATTACAGTAGAGCGTCGTTTATCAGAAAGTCGGTTATCCAAAATGTCGGTTATCCGAAAGCATTCCAGTCGGCAAATTTAAATTTTTGCTAGTGCTGTGGCGCTGAAATCTTTGGCTATATCTTGCGCTACTCCAATATTTTTTTGGTTGGTGTGTATGTTTTAGCTGGCAGCACTGGCACTTTTGTGTGGTGTTTTTCTGAGGATTGTGTGTCGTTCTGAATCAAACGTTTTTGATACTAGATCAACTTCTAAAGTATATTTTTTTGGTTTTTATATTTTTCAATATATTTATTTTGTTTGTACAAAATAAAAAACAATTTTTAACGATACAATAGCCACGATTATTATTTTAAAAAGTTTTCGTCAGGCTTAACATCGACGAAAATTCAACGCGAAACGACACGCAACGGAGAAAAATTTCAATAGGTTAATATATTTTTTCGTACATAATCGGTTATCCGAAAAATAAGTTATCCTAACAACCCCAGTCCCCAATTGATTCGGATAAACGACGCTCTACTGTATTGATAAAAGCAGGATAACAATAATAAGCTTAATAGAAGTTATTTATAAGTTATGTTAAGCTATTGCACTTAAAGCTTCATAGGGAAGCCTACATGATTTTATAACAAGAAAAATTACATTTGTTTTGTCATGTTATTAGCTGAACTGTACAACAATAAAACAAAAAGGAAATAAATAAATAAATAAATGTAAAGAAGTTTTTTAGTTAAATTATATTAAGTTTCTTTGTAAATAACTTAATGTGAAAGGATAAAGTTTCTTCAAAACCACTTTGAAGATTTGGAGAGAATTAATTCTGTGTTTTCTGTCAAATTTTATAGCAACACACTATCTGATGTTTGCTTAATTTTACTTTTTAATCTGGATTGGAACATATTGTTGATTGTGCTACAGTATTTTTCTTTAAGTACATATTAATTAAAGATTTCTTAATTAAATTAACAGATTTAATACTTTGGCTGCTTTTGTTTCATTTAAATCAATGAATATTTTCTAATTGTGACTAATCCAAACAAAGTAAGAGTAAATGAAACTAATTGAATTGCATTCATATCATTATTTGAACCATGAAAAATATTTAAATTTATATTCTTGATATCAATTATGCAACAATTATTTATTGTGACATCATCATAAAGCTGCAATGCTGGGCTGCAATTTTTAATCATATATTTTTAATTTATTTCATCTAAACTATATGCTCTCCACCTAAAGTTAGTAGTCTTGCCCCTGTATCATATTTTTCCTATTAGCAATAATCATGCCAGTTATATATTCAACTCCTTTCAAGGGAAATTTTTGAATTAAAATAATCTGATTTCTTGTTTGCATTGGAAGTACATATATAGTTAATTGGGACCTCCTGCCCCTAATCTTTCCATATCTGATCTTGGTTTTCATCTAACTCCATTCTCGTGATTATGGAAGGACAGATGGGCAGATGGATGACAATGGGAAATTTATAGGACTACAATTTTTTCAAATTGCAGCCCAATAAATATTAACTTGACAAATAAAATGTAATGCTTTTAATACAGTATAGTATTAACATTATATCGAAATACAAAACAAAATAATTGATAACAAGATGATTACCAAAATGAATAAGCAATCAGATGAAATCAATGTGTATTTAATAAACTTTTGTTTTTGATATATAATTATAAAAACTTGTGTAAATATTTTTCTTTAGTTAATTTCTAATATTAAATATTATAAGAGCTTCAGTTATTTTATAAGATTATGAGCAAAATATTTTCATGCTCTAGAATATAAGTTATTATTAAGATAAAAAGATTATTTTTATCTAGTAATTTTTTTTTTTTTTTTTTTTTTTTTTTTTTTTATTTCTTCTTCAATATGTTCAAAAATTCTAATACCTAAAATTTTGAATGTAAAGAAATTCTTATGTCAGTATCATTTTTTGCTGTACTAATTCAGCTGAAAAATCAGATACTGAATAATTTTTTCAATTAAACTTTACAGAATTAAATATTTTGTTCTATGCTCACTAATGACTATGTCACACTCTACAAACTCTCTATTATGGATACTTCTTCACAACATTATGTATTTTTCTTCACAACAAATATTTTGTTTATTTCATTACAAGATAAACTTATCACCATAATAAGAAATACAGTATTAAAAAGTTTGAAGTGGCAAATCCATTCTTCACTTTAAATTCACACATGCATTCCTTTCATTTTTTGACCCATATAAACATAAAAATTGTAAGTTCCAGGAATACCAAGCCAGGTAGTATCAATATCTTAGTATAAAGGTTACACAGATAACAGTGGGAATTTGTCTACAAATTTTTCAAATTGCAGCCCAATGAAGCCAGTTACACAAATAGTTATTTTTGAATAGAACCATTTAAGCTTTTGATGTGTTTTTTAAATTAGTCTAGAGAGTAATGGATGATTTAGGGTGAAAACTAATTGTAAACAAAATATACTGTTATATAACATTTTTACTTTGCTGGCTGTTAACAGAGGGAAAGTATGGTGATTGGTCAAAAAATGACCCCCAAGATTATTACATTTTTGTACTTAGGACACCTTGAAATGTTGAGAAATGCAAAAAGTTCAGGAGGGTAATTTCTGTATGTGTGTGTGTGTGTGTAGGTAGCATGATTTTGTTTACCCTCTTTGAAGCTTAATAACTCCTGTGCTTTTTGTCAAAAATTTTGAAATTTTGCAGGGAGGTTTGTGTATTAGGGGTATTGAAGCTATTAATTTTGGCAAGGAGAGTGGAAAGATAATGGGGATTGTGTATCTCTGGTAGGGTTGGACTTAATGACAATTTTACTCATTATTAGCATTTACAAATTTTTGGAAAACCCATCCCTACCCTCAAAATTAAGATTTTTGCCATTTTATAATAGTTAAAATATAAAAAGTTTTTTTTAATAACATATGGTAACAGATGTGTTACCAAAATTTTAAATGTTGCCATAAAGTTGAGTAACTCATTGCTGGTTTATTAAAATGGATGTTATTTTCAAAATAAGTTAATTAATTTTTTTATCAATTTCCAGAAAACTTATACAATACCATAACCTTTCAACAGTGGACTAGTTGGGTATGGTTCTACCTCAGTAGCGGAGAATAAACGTGGAAAATTTTTAAAGTATTTTTCCACGCGTTTTTTCTCTTTACTGTTTCAGAAAAAGATTTTGTAAACAGTTATGTCTAGTAAAGAAGAATCATTTTTTATTGTTACATAATTCATTTTTTATGTGAATTTTTTTTCACAGTAGTTTTAGGCTAGTTTTTGGCGATACCCTCTCCCCAAAAAAATTTGACGACTATAGTCGTCCCTCACCACTGCCACACGATCGCCTTTGATGACTATAGTAATATGTGGATTATGTGCCTAATCCTTAAACTATGGTATTTTCTGTTTTTTCCATTAAAAATGAAAAATTTTACATTAAATGGTCATAGTCTGGAAAAGTTCATTTTTATAATTTTCATGCTTTAAATTGGTTTTAAAATTTCAAAACATTATTACATGGCAATCAATATCTTATAAAATATTAAATAAAATGTTTGTTTTTTTAATTAAAATATATTTAATGTATTGCATATGATTGGTGATAATAAGAAATGATAAAGAAAACCAAATAATATAGGAAAGTATCTATAAATATTTCTGTTTATTTATTTATTGACAAATTTAGAAAAAATATTTCACTTAAATTACATAAATAAAAGTAATTGAATTAATATAATGAACAGATAAAATTTACAATAATTTTTCTGTAAATAAATATCAGTTTGAATTTATGATTGATAAATAAAACATTTTATATAGCAACTATGATTATTTTTATTTACAACTAATTAGACTTGAACATGTCCAGAAAACATTATTTCATTATAACTTTTTACATTAGATATATAATTTGCATTGAGTTTTAAAATACAGAATTACATTTTATAGAAATGCTGGACTTTGATTGATGATTGTCTGATTGTCAAGGAAACAGATATGAGTAATTTCCTGTTGATATAAATTTTACTTTAAAATATTAAATATAAATATTTGAATACTTTTTATGTTTTATTAAAGTGTTAAATAATTTCATGAAAAAGTTAAGTGGAATGTTTGATCCTGACCTTTGAAAATTTATCACCATTTTTAAATGAATATAATTAAAAAAAGATTTAATTAGATTTTTAAATGTTATAAATATGGTTTGTTTTTAAATAAAATATTCAATTATTAAAATTTAGTAATGAATATTTTTACTTTTTTACAATGAATAATAACCAGTGTTTAAGATCTAAATATATTTTTTAGGTCCTAGCAGTATAGCTCTACTGACCAAAGGAACATTAGAATATCTTATTACAAATTTGGTGAGCTATTGTATTTATAATAATGATGATGATGATTAATTTGTAAATCGTTTTTATTATATGTTAACAAAATGTTTATTTGTAGAATCCTGAAAATAATGTTTCTGTTATTTTATTCTCTCTAATTGCATTAGAAAAATTTGCACAAACAAGTAAGTGCTAAGAATTTTTACTAAAATTGACTTTTTTTACTTCTAAGATGTTCATNAATTTTTTTTTTTTTTTTTTTTTGTTAGTGTGTGTTTTAGCTGGCAGCACTGGCACTTCTGTGTGGTGTTTTTCTGAGGACTGTGTATCGTGCTGAATCAAGCATTTTTGATAGTAGATCAACTTCTAAAGTATATTTTTTATTGTTTTTATATTTTTCAATATATTTATTTTGTTTGTACAAAATAAAAAAATAATTTTTAACGATACAATAGCCACGATTATTATTTTAAAAAGTTTTCGTTAAGCTTAATATTGATGAAAATTCAACGCAAAGCGACACGCAACGGAGAAAAATTTCAACACGGGATAGGTTAATATATTTTTTTCGTACACGATCGGTTATCCGAACAACCCCAGTCCCCAATTGATTCGGATAAACGATGCTCTACTGTATTAAGATTTTTTTCATTTGTCCAAAATTGATTAAGACCGATATTTGGCCCTCTATGTCTTTCTAATGATATATATTCAAGAAATTAATTAAAATTATTAAAGAAAGACCCACTATACAAGAAAAGATACAGATATGGGTTCATTTGAATAAAAGGATTTATTCGAATAATGGTTAAGCGAGTTACTTTAATTATTTAGCAAAACAGACACAATCACCATCTTCTCGTTACTTAAGTCAGCCATCTTGAAAAGCGACCTCTCAATGAAAGCGTTTCTTTTTTCTGCAAAACGTGACGTCAGATTGTTCAACGGAGGTACTCATAATTCATTATATTAGGAACTGGAAACGTTGTTGAGATGGGTTCTTACAATAGTTTAGACCAGATACATTCGCGAAAGTGGTCGCTTATTACAGGTGTTGTATGTTGTTTCGGACCAAAAATCGATGCCCGCGGTCGCGTTACACAGGTGGTCGTTTAATACAGGTAACTTATACGAAGACTCTATGGATAAACTATTCCGTGCCAGAAATTTTTGCCCGTTTTGACAGGTGCCCGTCGAATGCAGGTGGTCGCCTAAGCAGTTTTCACTATATATATATATAGATGTATAAAACATAAATATAAATAATGAAACATATAATTTAGTATTTCCTATCGTAAATCTAACAATACATGTTACATTATATTAAATATTCTCATATATATATATTTTTAACACTTAACAATTTCTATATCTATGAATTAAAAAAGTTGTATAACATGACATTCAGATAACTTATAAATAAAACTCTTTTGTCTACAATTATATCTATGAATAGTTATCTTTTTCACATGATTTATTTGATAATTTATAGGAATATATATTTTAAAACTCAAAAACAGTAACTAACATTTCATTCATATATTAATTATAATAATCTGATGACACTATTAATAGAAAATTATTTTTTAAAATAACATTAAACATATTTTAACTGATTTAACTGAACTAAAAATTAATTGTGGAACCATTTGTGGTTTAGCAATTAATTTTAAGTTAGTTAATATGATAGATTAATTTATGTTATTTTAATAACAAGAATTATACTAGATCAGTGATATAAGAATTTTGAGCCTTAATCTAATTAGAAAATTATCAATAGTTCTGTAGTTACTAAAAGTTTTGATATTTCTATTCACTCTATCAAAAAGAAAGAATTAAGAAAGTAAATTTAGTTTATTATTTATTCCAAAGAATAAAAGATTTTAAAATATTTGATTAATATGAATACAATATTTTTTTGTTTTAACTTTCCATTTTGTGGGCACTGAGAGGGCCTTTACTAGTAAGGCAGCGTGCATTTATTCTGACGACATCAAAATGGGGGAGGGTGTCAGGAGGGTGTTGAGGAATGCTGATATGAAGAGGTTAGGTCATCCGAGTGTTTGTGCATACAAAATAATTAATTTATTTTGGAATATTCTGTTGTTAATTGATATTTATTGTACATATGATTGCACAAATGGGAAGGAGAAGGCAGTGGTGATGACAAATTGTATGCAGAAAGGAGTGAGAGTAAAAAATGAAGCAAAATCTGTCGTTGCAATATGTGCACACCACCTAAACCCATTATGAGTTTGGCCAGGCTCTCAGTGTGGCTGTCAAATGATGAGGAATGGGGCCTGACAGTTGGATAGACCACCTGCAACAAAATTCCTGGAGTTTTTTCAACCCATCCAAATTCAATGCCTAATCTCCAGAGTAGTAGTCTGCCACTTTAACTGCTTAGCCATCTGGTCATCTAGCTGAGAAGTGATTTGAATACAATATTAATGTTTTATAAAATTAAAAATATTTGGCAAAATTGATAATATTTTAATACTTTGTTGTTCTGTAAACTACTATTTAATATTAATTCAGAAAATGTATATACTTTTAAGAAAATAAATGTAACTTTTTTATTAAAGTTTTCAGATTTACTTTAATCCATCTTCACAAGAACAAAAATTAATAACAATAACTAATTTAAAAATCTTCTATCCAGTTTTAGCAAATACATGACATTCAGGACATTAAAATTAGGCTGTCTTCAGGCATTAGTGTTTCTCCAATCTTAAACACTGTTAAAGGAGTTTGAATTTATCAAGATATTTTGAAAAGTGTAAAATAGTATTATTATAAAGCAGAATAACTGCTATTTAATTTTTCATCTTATTAGCAAATTTGTAGATTAATTTCATTAACAATATTAGTAGCTCAAAAGTTAGTTAACTGTATTTGTAAATATAATTCATGTAATTTTTCTTTACAAAAATTAGTGGAAACATGATAAAAATTTAGTTATTTAATTGCAGTTTAGTCTTCATAATAATCGGACCACCCTATATATTTACTGTGTTGTAACTATCTTCACTATAAATTAATACAAAAACAAAGTTATTAGAATTTTCTTATCATTTTTTATTCATTTCTTTCTAATGGTTAAAATTGTAATAAAAATAAAGATTATTTACAAAATCATTTTTTTAGGTGTAGCGTTAAAATATATTTCAGTAATATTTGATTGTAATTTTTATTTAAAAAATTTTTTAAATCTGTTTTAATCTGCACTCATTTTAATTAATGGTATTTTATTTGTAGTGCATCTCTATTTTATATAGTTAAAGGAGAAGAAAAAAACAATTTTAATATTAAAATTAAGAGGTTAGTATGCAATTCACTTGATATTTTATGCATGTTAAAAGTTTAAAACTTATTATTATTATTTTAAATAAAGCATTTGAATTTTAACTTAGAACATAGCTAAATTTACTGTTTTTTTCATTTAATAGAAGAATAATCAAAGCACTGTTGGATGCCATGTGTGCTCATCGTGATGACACAACAGTAAGTTTTTCAATTTTGTTTATATAAAAAGAAAATTAAACAAAAATGAAAGAATCAGAAAAAACTCACTAAGAAGGGAGATATTGTAATTTTTAAAATGCATCTGGGTAAAATGAAGTTGTTGATTGACTAGTAATCATGTCATCTGTGGATGTGATAATTTCTAGAAAATTAAAGTGTTTTGACTAGTTATATATTGAGAATAAAGAAACTGAATATTTTTACATGTTTTAAGTGAAAGTAAAAATGATGTGCCTCCACTTTTATGAAAAATGTGTTTATATGTATGGAACTGAAAATAATATCTATATATATTGTTGACAGAAATATTTAGCATACTATTAGTGTACTACTGTATATTATTTCATTTGTGTAAAAGAGTCATCTTAAAGGAAAATTTAAAAAAAAGAATTAAAACTAAAATGTATTTTAATAAGTATTAATATGTAGTTTTCAATATAAACAATATTTTTTAACAATAAAACTAAAGTACAGTGATACCCTGAACTTATGCGATAGGTGGGACCAAGCGATATTCACGTAAGTCGGGGTATAATTTCACAATTCGTGTAAAATCGAAGTGGGATGTATGTAAGCTAATAAATGTTCTTGTTAATCTTATCTCTTCTTTTGATTAGTTCACGGTTACAAGAAATCACCACATAGAGTCTCTGAAGGTTCCGTAGATATAACAAACACAGTAATAAATAACACAAAATAAATTGTAGCTCTGCATCGATTCCGCACGACACATCCGAATATGTAATCTGAACAATAGTGTGGGGGGAGTGAGTAATCGAGAGTTGTGTGGTGCTCAAACAAAAGACGAATCGGCAAGATTTGAAAATCGCGTAACTCCGGGTTCACATAAGTCGAAGTATTACTGTATATATATTACATTTAAACAGAAAACATTATAATTTAAAGAGATTGTTCTTAAATTGTCATTGAATCCAATTATTCCATATTCTTATATTTGAAAATTTTAATTGTTGTTAATTTTTAACCTTTAAGTAATACATAGTAGCTCTTTATTATATCATTCATGTTAGACAAACTATTTTATTGATATATATGTGCAATATAACAATGTATCTATTTTCTATCTTCATGCCAAGTTGCTTTTTAGTGGGTTGTATTTCATATAATTGTAGATTCAAGATCAGCAATTGGAATGTGGTAATATTTCTTTACCAATAGAAATTCAATGGCAACCAATTTTTTAAAAAATTATTGGATAAGTGCTTTTATATTTGGAAGACCAAAAAAGGTATGATATATCCAAATGAGCAATATAACAAGAGGCTACTGTATTATGATATATTAAATACAGAGATCCATTTGTCACAATAGTTAATAATTTTCTCACCAATTTTATTTATTCTATCACTTTTTCTTTTTATTATTATAAGTGCATATAAATAGAGAATATTTTTTCAAATTATAAATCACAAATGCTTGTTTATTTTTTTCTTAGATGCTTCGAAATGGTTGTTTGACTCTCATTCATTTTAAAATTCCCCAAGATGTGGTAAGTAACTTACAGGTAACACTCAAATCATGATTATATAAATTAATTTCTACAGAACTAGCTATATTTGATTGTGTGTTTCTAGATAAAAGCTAGAGCTTTCTTAAATTTTTCTTATGTAATTGAAAATTAGTGAAATTATAACAAAACCTCAAATAATGATTTTATAATTGGAATAAAATTTGGACAGGAATTTTAAAACCACTTAAAATATTTTATATTTGGGAACATATAATTATTAACACTATAAACTAATATTTAACATAGATATTTGTAAATTTATAAAGTACAGTATTTATCATCCATTGGCTGGAAATCATCAGTTATAGAGAATTATTACCAGATAGCTATAATGATGCCAACAATTGATAACATATATACAGATATCCCTCATATAACAGATGTTTGGTAGTTATGTTCTAAAAAGTGCAGTGTTATGCAAATCCATGCTATATGAAAAAAAGGACTAGTACAAAACTTAAGAGTCAGTTTCCAAAAGTTAGGGAAAATAAAATATATTTTTTTCATAACTAAGAGAAATATGTTTATTAAAGCAATCAATAATTAACTAACAATTGCAATCAAAAATATTGCATGTTAACATTAATTTTATCTTTATTGCTGAACACCATTAAACAAGAATGTTTCAGAATATCATCATTATCTGAGCTTTCCTGTTGACCTTAACCTGAAGTATTGGCAACATCTTGATTTTTCTCTACTTTTTCATAAAGCCTGATATTTTCATTTGCTTGCATTTGCCTGAGGTCTCTTAAGATCTTTAAAAATTTAATCTTTTTATGTACTAGATTTTAATTTAATCTATGAAAACAAAACATGGTAACAGTCTTTTGGGTTTATTTAGAGCACTGTCACTAATGACAGTGACACAAGGTTTATAGGAAGACTAGAATAGGAAGCTAGGACAAGAAGAAAACTTTGCAATCAGTTCTCATTAAAAAAAAAAAAACAAAGTGAACAGCATGAAACTACATTGAAAATTTTGGTATTTTAAAGTCCATGAGCAAATATGAGACAATATGCATCTTTCTTGAATAAAGAAACGTGTTTGTACTTAAAAATTATGATGTTTCATACAAGAATGTCTCTAATTCTCAAACTGTGTTAGAGCAAAACCATATTGTAGAAATGCCATGTTATATGAGGGATATCTGTATATTCTGTAAGCAGTTGAGCAGTTATAAAAATAGATTACTTTCATAAAAATATATCTATCATTTAAAAATTATGCTTGACTTTTTAAACATTACATTACATTGACCATTATATTAGAAAAATAGAAGATTCCTTATTATTACAATCAATTATTTGAATATATGATATAAAATTATCTTAAACATACTAATCCATTTACAATACAGGTTTAATTAAATAACAAAAATATAATTCTTTGAAAGTGTTTAAAATATGTAGCATTAATTGTATTAAACATGTCTATATTACTCAGTTACTACATATACCAGAAGTGTTTATACACTTCTGGTATATGTAGATTTCACTTTTACTGATTGTCTTAAAAAACTTAAGCAGGTACATAAAAAGTGGACAATTTGAATCTAGCATATAAATTTTCAATGGAAATTCCTTTATTTTTTCAACCTTACTTTGAAAATTTTAAAACTTTAATTAGAAGAAAGCTAATTTTCTAACTAAAATATTTAATTTTTCAAAATGAAATAAATTAGTGAATTAATTATATTCCTTTTCTAATATATTATCTGAGAAAAGTGGCTTTTATTTAGAATAATAAAATTTATTATTATTTCTTTAATTATAGAAATTTACAGTTTATAGTTAGGAAAAGAAAATTTATAGTTATTTTATATTGACTTTTTCAGTTATTTGACTACGAAAGATTAGTAGATATTTTACTCCATATAGTCTCCCAGGAAGATCAAGATGATTTTGTTCAAAGAATTGGAATCTATCTACTTAATAGTGTAGCATGTCAAGTAGATGGTATACAAAAACAATTAGTAGGTGATAGAGGTGCTATAACAGTAAGGATATTTGTATATATAATTTTTTTTTCCTGGTTTTATTAGAGTAAACAATAAAATTTATTTTTAGATAATGCTCCGCTTAATTGAAAATAGATTGAATCGTCACAACTGTGATGAAGTAATGGAAACAGCTTGGAGTACAATGTGGAATGTTACAGGTTATTAAAATTTTATGTTTATATATATGTATAATGATTTATTTGATTATGTATTGCACTATTCAAATATCATTATTGACGAGACTATGTCTCATCTCTAAAATTGCGCTGTTGTCAATGGCTGCACGCACATCTTAGAGATGTGAAGGAGTACATGTCAGCAGTTGCAATTTGGATTTGGCACAGAGTATTTGGTGCCCAAATCTTGCACACACAAAATAAACCAGATTTGTGGGTAGTCAATGGACCAAGAACCAGGTCAAAATAAAATACAAAATGCTGAGACTGTTTATACAAACAGGCATGAGTGAGAAATTTGTGCATGCATTGCTCACACTCTCTGAGACAGAGTCTTGTCCCAAGAATGGCTTTGCTGTTTTACTTGTTTATACAATAATCCAGTAATATTGTGAAATTTTTCTAGTAACAGATCACAGAACATATCTTTTAAGACTATTACTAATGTGGATATTATAACTTATTCATGTATTATCATTGATAGAAGTGAACTTTAATGTAACTCAAAGTGAAAAAGAAATTATTTTTAAAAATAATTTTATTTGTTGAAAATATTTTTTTAAGTACAGTAATTTCATGTACTGAACTTAATGTATGATGAAGATTTTCAATTTAATCAATTTCTTTCTTATAATTTATTTAGATTAAATTGATATAATATTGACTTTATGCCAAAATGGAGTATGGTTTTTTAAATTTGAAAATCATCTACCATGTTATTCAATTGGCCAGCTATGTTTGTAGACTTTAATGAATCAATAACAATCAAATTCATGATTTTTTTTCAATAAATAAAACTTATAACTAAAACTCTGTTTCTACATGCAGTTGATTACTTAAAATATAATGAGATTTATTTGAAACACTGAAATTGATACTACATTGGTAATTGTTGCACAAAGATTTAAATTTGATATTGAATATAAAGAAATTTGTAAGTTATTTCTTAATCTAACAAAAGTATAATAGATTAATTAATAAATTTTTTTTGTTTCAAAATAATTTTTTATTTATGAGAATTTTAAACATAAACAGATTAAATGGTTTTATTTTCAAACTTTTAAACTAATTCTTTTAAAACAATTAGAAAAAATGTCATCTTCTGATTTTGAGTAACTTGAAACTGTATAATGTTGAGCTTGATCAAGTGATTGATTTTCATAATCAAGCAATTAGTAATTGAATGGTTTCAATAATTAAGTAATTATTATTTGAATGACAGTTAAATTTATTTTTAAGACTTGACTTGTTATTATTATGCCTTGTAGACAAAAAAGGTATTAAGAATAAATTATTCTCTGAGCATATGCAGCATTGTTTTAATTTTAGTTTGAGTCTGTGTGCAGGTAGTGAAATTATTTTGTCTAATACTTACATTGCAGAAATATAAAATTCAGTTAAAGTTAAAAGTCTAAAAGGCAAGTTATTGAGAGCTTTAGATAAATATATAAAAATTAAATGTTATATAAGAATGCCTTATGTCAAAATAATATTAGGAAGTATATACCACAAGTCATTTTACATACAGATATAAAATATAGACAGGATGATACTGTTAGAACAATGATGAGGCAGTCCTTTAACTTAGAATTAAACTTTAATCTAAGACTATACATGGACTTGTTCACACACCCATAACTTGCTGCACAACTGAAAACGGGTCTCTTGTTTCTAGCAGTCTTGTGTGGGTGTTGCTAGTTCATGCACAGTTTGTGATATCAACACTTGCTTTAGTTTAGTATTCCCTAGTGATCTCTTCATTAGTTATATGTTTATGGTGAATAAGAAAAGGTTGGTCCTGAGTGGTTTTGTGAAGATGTCAGCAGTGTTGCTCTTAGAGTCCATATACTTTATTCATACTTTCCATCAGTGACCTTCTCTCAAATAAAATGATACTTTATGGCTATATGTTTGGTCCTACCGTTTATCACATAACTTTTGGCATGTCCTATTGCTGCTTGGTTGTTGCATTTGACAATAGTGGGTTTTTCCAGTAATTCATGCTGATCTAACTGTTTAAGCATTTCTCTCATTCAGGTTATATCTCTTGAACATGTTGATACAGATATATATTCAGCTTCCATTGTACTGAGAACCATTACAGATTGTTTGGTGCTCTTCCAGGCCACAGGTCCTCCTGCCATAAATATTGGGTTGTTCAGAAAGTAAGTTTGTTTTTTCTGTGGAAAAAAACACAATATTTTTATAATAAATAAATATTTTATTGAATTATATATCAACCATTTTGGTCAAATACCTGTTGTCATCGTTTCTGGTAGTAGCATGATTTCACATTCATAAAAATTTTGATCGTTGCTTACAAAAAACTGACCCAAGTGATTTTTGACATTGCCATTTCAAGTAAATGTCTTACAGTTAAAAAAAAATTTGTATAGACCACAACAAGTAGTAATCTGAGTGTGCTCGATCTGGTGAATATGGTTGGTGTGATAGTATGTCCCATCTAAGTTATAACAGTTTCTGACGAGTTACCAAACTTGTGTGTGAAATTTGACATTATCGTGGTAAAACACTAAACCTGTTTTGTTGATCAATTCTGGCCACCTTTTCTGTTTGATGATATTACTCAATTTGTTTTCTCGATGGCAGTACACTTTCGAATCAATTGTTAAATTATCTGGTAAAAGCTCCAAAAAAAAATTTCCTTAAAATCCCACCAAAGAGAGCATCTCTCTTTAAGAACATGTGGAACCCATATATCAAGCTTTGAAACGAAACCAAGTTGTTTCAAGTGGTCATAAACGGTTGAATTGGACAAATTTAATCTGTTAGCGATTTCTCTTGTTATTCAGCGGTTTGCTTCAATCACTGCCTTTATTTTGTCTTTATCAGCTTTAACTGGCTTTCCAGAACGTGATGCATCTTCAATATGAAAATTGCCAGTACGAAATTTTGCAAACCACTTTTGGCACCATTGTTCTGTCAATACATCTTCTCCATACATGTCACACAATTTTTTTCTTGCTTGAACAGTATTCTTACCTTTTCAGTAACAAAAGAGCAAAATATGCCAAAAATGCTGCTTCCAATCTTCCATATTTGATGGGACAAAAAATAAACAATTGCATGAAATGAAACAAAATTTTTTACAAATAAGTCTTAAAATGCTAGCTGTCAAAATATATAATGATAATACGGTTTAGAATGAAAATGGCGGGAAAAATACGACTAATCCCTCTAGTGGTAAAAAAAATGAACTTACTGTTTGAACAACTTAATATGATATGTCCAGTTGTGCTTTTACAGTTTTCTTCATCCATTTCCCAGTCTGCACCTGAGTATGGGAAAAGGTTTTTAGATCTTGTGTACTTTATTCCTAGTCGTCTTGTTGATTTCAAATAATGTAATATTCTTTTAGCTGTGTTTGAATGTTTTCTTGAGTATTTGTTGCAGTATTGTGCAAGTTTGTTAGCTGCAAATGTGCTGTCTGGCCTTGTTTTCTGCGATATATACATTAATCCGCCTGTAAGCTCTCTGTAAGGTAAGTTCTCATCTGAGTTATTAGCTTCTGTTTTTAAATCTGGTCTACACTCCATTGGTGTAGTAATATCCTTTGCCTCTAGCATATTAAACCTTTCTAGAAGTTTTTCAACATATCTTTCCTGGTCTAGGGTAATACTGTTTTTCTGACATGTGAACCTTACTCCAAGAAGTTCAGAAACAGGTCCTAGGAACTTGATGTCAAAATGTTTATTTAGAAGTTTTTGTGCCAATTTTCTCATGTGTCTATTTTGTGAAATTACCAGGATGTCATCTACATATACTGCTATATCATCATTCCTTCCTTTCTTGTCAGTTTATATATGCATGAATCAATCATGATTCTCTTAAAGTCAGATTCTCTCAAGCATTTTTCCAGGTGATTGTTTCAGCATTGTCCACTTTGTTTAAGACCATAGATTGCTTTGTTAAGTTTACAGTATGTGTTCTTTGCCCTTTCTTCGAAATCCCTCTGGTTGTTCCAGATATATCTCTTTGGTCAATTTACTATGTAGATATGCTGACTTATTTAATGATGTCAGCATATGATATGTCAGCATATGATATGTCAGCATGTCAGCAATATGATGTCAGCATATTTAAATATGCTGACATCATATTGGTCCAAAAGCCAATCTTTGCTTATTGCTAAGGCTGTTAGCAATCTTATTGTGTCAAAATCAATATGGAGAATAAATTTTGTTGAAATCTATGAATCTTTGTTGTACAAACACTTTTCCACTAATTGTGCTTTGTATTTCTTTGTCCCTGTGTGGTTGTTTTCCTTAACTTTGTAGACCCACTTGCATTTGATAGTTGTCACCCCTACTGATGGTTTTGTTAAGTTCCATACATTATGTTTTTTCAGGGATTCCATTTTTTCCTCCATGGCAGCCTGCTATCTGGCTGAATCATTTGATTGCATCTTTTTGATGCCCTTTCAGAACTGACACCATGTCCTGATTGACACGGAAGCCAAGACGGGCATGTTGATTTGGTCACGCGAGTGGCCATGTATGTGGGCGATTGGACGGGATGGAGTGAGAGACAGCGCACTGGAAGTGACTCACGCAGAGACTAGGATAATGAAACAACCTAGTTCATTTAGGAAAAAATTTAAAGAAAAATACATATACCCTTGGGGTCTAATTGATAAAGGGGATATATAATTGTATCCATGCCTTAACGAATTCTGAGAGAGAGATAGTTTACAAAAAGACATGCAGTGATAGATACCTGATGTAACAGTGGATTTCCATAGGCTGGAGCAACCTTGTTGACCAGAGTCAGAAAGTTTGCTGGGGAAAAGAGACAAGATAGTCCTATAAGGTATTCGGCGATGATGTTAATCCAAGGATGGCACTCACTAATTTCGTAGGTGATCAGGAAAGTTCACTAAGGTAAACAAGAAGGTGAAAGAGCCTCTGGCTCTTTCACCTTCTTGATTGCATCTTGAAGGTGAAAGAGCCAGAAGGTGAAAG